TTCTGACCTCTAAAAGAGAGAGAGATACACAGAGAACAATCGACCATTCTATAGAATATATAGAATGAGATAGATGTAAACATGTCAATAAAAATCGACATATAAATATTCAATGAAATGTGGTGTTGGTTATTTTTATGTGGTTTTCTAGTCCAAATTTTTTTTTGTTTTTTCCATTTCTGCAAAATTTAACGCGCTAGCTAAAAAACTAAGCGAGTTATGGGCTATTATCCGAAGCTTATGATCCTGAGCCTAAGGCTAAGGATAGTATTTGTTGGACCCTAAGAATGGGCGATTTTCAAAGTCTCCTCCTTGAGCTGTTTTAGCATTTTCTAGTCTCAAATTTTCTACTCTTTCGAATTCTGCCAAGTTTAAAGCGCTAGCTACAAAACTAAGCAAGTTGTAAGCCATTTTAGTGAGTAGCCCCTGGTACCAAACAACAGGTTGCTAAAGATAGCAGGTGTGTGCACCCTTAAATGGGAGGAAGCGGGCACCAGATGCATCACATCTGTAATTCCACCCCAAAAAAAAGTTTTCTAGAATATTCTCTCACGATTCTCAAATTTCAGTGGCTTCTAGAAGGATCGACGACTTTCTAGAACTTTCTAGACGCTTCAGAATGTTCCAGAGCTTCTAATAGATATCTGGAACAATCCAAAGCATTTTTTTGACTTATTTCCTCTTTAAAATATCTAGAATGCGCGTCTAGAAGCTATCTCGAGCATTTCAGAGTCTATAGGAACATTCCTCAGCTGTTTAGAATGTTCTAGAACTTTTTAGAACGCTCTATTAGATAGCCATGGCACTCTATTGTTCGCAGGTGGTCAGGGGTGGCACTGTATTAGGGGGTGGCATTCAATTAGAGGCTGGTACTTTATTGTTCGGAGCATGTTTCTACTAAAACTAATCACAAAATGACTCGATTTTCAAATTTTTCCTAAAATGACTTCTGAGGTTTTCTCGATTTTTCTACTTCCTTTTTAGAGACTTTCGGAGTTTGATATCATCCTGAAACATTTTTGAAAAATACAGTACCTTTTTTAAAGGAGGCCAGACACCAAAAAAAAAGTTTTCCTGATATTTTGCATAGAGAACCCCCATGAGGGGTTGAACTCATGACAGGCAGCTCAGGGGTACAGCGCGCTACCGGCTGAGCTACGGGGGCGCGAAGGCGCCTGACGACCGATGGTCTACATAAGCGCGGTGCGTTTTCGTCTCCCGAACTGACCCCCGAAATTTTCGCTGTCTCGCCTCCTTTAAAGGGGGACTCCGACCAAAAATTTTTTTGCATTAAAATGCGTTAAAATTTATTTGTTTTTCAAATATTATTGCAAAAAATTCAAAGAAAATCCGAAATCCCCGAAAAACGCCGCTGAAAATGAATA